GCCGGTCGTCTTGGGTTATATGCATGGTGTACAACTGTTTCCTGATGATTTTCTCTTCGTTTGCAAACACGTGAGAAATCGTTCGGCCACGTCGGGACCTCGGTAGACCACGGGAGCGGTTTCACCGTCGGATTGAACGACCACGTAACCGAACCTGCAGGCTTTGTGTTCTTGTGTTTTATGCGTGAAACTTTTTTCCGGGGACGACGGCGCGACAGTGTCGACGGTTTTGATGAGGGCTTCGGCGTAGATGACATAGGGCACGGGTATTTGATGTTTGTGGTTGAAGAATTTTAGCGTGTTTTCTTTTCCTTATGCTTCGATTGATCGTACAACCGTCTGTTGAAATATTTATCCACATGTAGTGAAACTTGTTGCCTTGCTGGGAAATGAATATATTGATCGTCTTGCAGTGTTGGTTTGTGAGGGAGCTCATCCTGTGCACGATAGTTTTATTCCCTTTGTGTCCGAAGATATTGATGGCTATGTGGTCGTTCTGTTTTTCGATTTAGGTGACCTTGGAGATGGGGGCACTTTCGTCTATACTGTCCCAGTTGATCCCATCGTCTTCAGGATAGCTCGAAAGTCTGTCTGAATGTGCTTTGGCCGGAAACTTCGCGTATCTGATAGCAACCCTCATGCAATCATTGCCTTTGTTTTTGACGTTTACCATGGCTTGCTTTTTCTTGTAGTACGGTGGCAAGTCTAGGTACAACCCTCCTTTGAATGGCACGAAGTTCGCTACGTCCAGGTAGATCGTATCGATCGTGTCCACGACCCAGCCCGAGCCCATGTGCGTGTAGCGTTCCAGGGATTCTCGTATTTTTGCAAACGAGGTGTTGATGGACGCGTCGACGGACTCGGGCTGAGTCGCGACTTCTTGCTTGCCTCTGAAGTAAGGCTGACTTTTTTAGGATTCTTGGTGGTGGTGACTAGTCGTATCGGTGTCGTTGCTTCCTCCTCCGTCGGCGTTTCCTCCTCCTGTTGCACATCCATGTTGTATATTATTATCATTATTATTTTATTTTTTTCCCTTTAAATTGACAATGCTTTGCCGTGATGATCGCTGCAGTCATCGGAGCTAAAAACATGCCGTATCTGTGGTACAGCACGCAGCTGACGGCGCTCAAAGCGAGGTCGATGAATGGATCTATCTCGAGATCTTCCCACAGGTAAAGTCAACGATCTGGCGGAATGGGAAGGAAGTACGACGCTATGCCGGCATAGACTTGCGTTATGACAGACCCTATGGTTTTCGTCATTTCGGCGCTGAGTCTGCCTTCGTATCTCGCATACAGCTTGTCGATTTCTTAGGCTGGCATTTTGTGAATTTTGTGTGGTTGCCCCTACCCATGTATTGTTTGGCGAGTGCCACCAGTCTCTCTATCCAGTCTTTTTATCCCCCGCAACGCGTTTTGCGGGAGGTATTAAAATGGACTCCGTCCGTGCACATTTGTTTTCCGGAGCAGAACTCTAAAACCATTCATTATTTCTTCACCAAACTTGGCACATACATGGATCTGGTGGTGTACTGGTGCCTTTTGGTAGTTTTGGAATTCTGAATTAAATATTTTTGGCGTTTCCATGGCAACAAGTTCGACTTTGACTGAAATTAGTGGTAGTGCTCTTTTCCGGAGCAGAACTCTAAAACCGTTTAATATTTCTTCACCAAACTTGGTACATGGATAGATCTGGTGGTGTACTGGTGCCTTTTGGTAGTTTGGGAATTTTGAATAAAATATTTTTGGCGTTTCCATGGCAACAAGTTCGACTTAGACTGAAATTGGTGGTAGTGCTCTTTTCCGGAGCAGAACTCTAAAACCATTCTATATTTCTTCACCAAACTTGGCACATAGATAGATCTGGTGGTGTACTGGTGCCTTTTGGTAGTTTGGGAATTCTGAATAAAATATTTTTGGCGTTTCCATGGCAACAAGTTTGACTTAGCCTGAAATTGTAGTAGTGCTCTTTTCTGGAGCAGAACTCTAAAACCGTTCAATGTTTCTTCACCAAACTTGGCACATAGATTGGCCTGGTGGTGTACTGGTGCTTTTTGGTAGTTTTGGAATTCTGAATAAAATATTTTTGGCATTTCCATGGCAACAAGTTCGACTGAAATTGGTGATAGTGCTGCTTTCTGGAGCAGAACTTTAAAAACCTTTCAATACTCTCCTTCCACTTTTCTATATACACACCTAAATATTTGACATAATCATAACTCGTAGACATAATCATGAAGAGTATTTTGCCATTGCGGGGGATATTAATGACTTTGTCTTCTTGTGTTTATTATTATCATCATCCACCATTTGTTTGAGCAGTTCGTCGCACTCCATCTTATAATGTAATAAACGATTTTTAAGTCTAATAAAATTGAATGGGAGGTACGCGAAACACAGCGAGATGAAAGTCAAGTTGCACACAACGATAGTTTCGAACATCGTATTTGCTTGAGTTATGCTAGAATTTGCTTGAATTTTGCTAGAATTTTGCTTTTAAGCTAGCAGACTTTATACACCATGGGTTGGTCGGTTTTCAACAGGAGTTTGGTGTGTTTCGTTTCGGCGAGCTGTTTCTTCACTCGTTCTCGTTCTTGTTTGGTCGGGATCATGTCATTTTCTCGCAAGCAGTCCTCGAACGAATCCCTGTCCTTGCAGTGAAACAGGGCGACCCATCGCGTCTGTTCCCGTAAATCTTTCAGCAACGAGTTGAATTTCTGCGTCAAAACCCAAACGCTGTGTTTCGTGTGTCGGCCTGAGAAGGCCAGGTCAACAGCGCCTGCTCGTTTTTTAACCATCTCCTTGTTGACGCTGCAGTCGTCGAGGATGAACAGCGTCTATTCTCCTTTCAGCTTGTCGTGGTAAGTGCGCAACCAGTCCTGCAGACGAATTCCAGGATCGATTTTGTGCACGTCTGGGTCCGTCATCACCCACGGTGTCTCCATGTATGTATTGTTCACCCGTAAAGTTGGGCAAAGAATGACGATGTGGTCGAATACGTCACGATAGTATCCTTCTAGCGTGTCCAACACGAATGCCGTCTTGCCGCATCCCGTCTGACTGCACACGATGGCGCAGTGGGGATCGCGAGGTAAATCAATAAATGGCTAGCACGAATCTTCCATTATCTATATTAAGTTGCGCGGCCATAATCACGTACAAATATAAATTTAACTTGTTCGCCGGATGTTGAGCTTTTTTGGTGATTTGGATGATGATCCCCTCGCTGCCATTGTCGATGCGACGTCCGCTGCTGTGTAGTCTGTCGTCGTCCGTGAATCGCATATCCAGCCACAGCTAGTAATGCTTATCCAGGTAACCATCAATCCTCATGTAGGATAAACTCAGGTCTTTGAAGACATTGTTGACTTCCGGCGAGTGTCGCTTGATGGCCGGTAGTTTTCTTATCGCGTCCCACTGCTGGTAAGCTCGCATGCCTTGGCTGAACAGGCCTTGACGGTCACTTCCACTTTCGTGATCTCGGGATTCCAAGTGAGTTCGCTGTCTCTTCGAAACGGCTTGTATTCTGTCACAGGAATGATCGTCTGGTGCCGCAGCAGGATGGACAGCAGGATTGTACAGGATGGACAGCTTTCCAGAGTACTGGGTTCGAATCTGCCAGGCCAGTTCCGAGCTCGTGACCATGTCGAATTCCAGAGAGATGTTGTCGATGACGTAGCTGGCCTCGGTGCCATCCGACGTAAATATAACTTTGCCATAGTCGTTGAACGTGAGTTCCTATTCCAACCAGTCACCCGCGGCCTGGTAAAACGGCATGTGCCCCTCGAGCAGCTCGAAGTCGAGCGGTATGCAAAACCAGTTCCCGTATGCCTCGGCGATGGCTTTGTCCCCTGCCGCTATCCCATTGAGCTTGTCTTGTGTGAAAGCTCTTCCCACACGCATGTCGTTCGCACGGCAGTTAGCCCAACAAATTCCTTGATACAACATGTCAGCGCGTTCGTTCTTGATTCTCCAGAGGTCCGTGTAACAGTAAAACACGTCGCTGTCGTCGATGCTTAGCACCTCGTTCCCACTTATTTTAATGGTGGTTTTCTTGACGATGGCGTGACCCAGATTGCGCACGATCATGCATTTATCGTTCGTGGACTCCAAAGTTATGTGAAAAGCCAGTCGAGCCGTGCCAGGGACGATGACGTCGTTCCCGCCCAGGTTGGGGAATCGAACCAGCAGCGTTTGGTTTTGATCGATCGTGCTCGGATTGTTGGTGATGGTCACCGACTGACGCACGGCTTTAACACCCAGGGGTTCTGGTTCAGGCAGATGCGCTGTACGCGACAGATCAACCCCCAGACCATCTTGTCTCCAGGCAGATGTTCTGTATGCTACAGATCAGACACTAGACCATCTTTTCTCAAGGCAGATGCTCTGTTCACTACAGATCAAACCCCAGACCATCTTGTCTCCGTGCAGATGCTCTGTATGCTACAGATCAAACCCCAGACCATCTTGTCTCAAGGCAGATGCTCGGATATGCTCTCAGACACTACAGATCAACCCCAGACCATGCTCTGTACACTCAAGATCAAACCCCAGAACATCTTGTCTCCAGGCAGATGTACTGTACATTACACAGATCAAAACCCTAGAACATCTTGACTCCGGGGCAAATGCTCTGTACACTACACAGATGAAACAGATTTTGTCTCCATGCAGATGCTCTGTACACTACAGATCAAACCCCAGACCATCTTGTTCCAGGCAGATGCCTGTACACTTCACAGATCACCTTTTTGTCTCCAGGCATGTTTACACCTATATTTTGTTGACTATATATGACATGCTATCTTACAGTGTTAACATTTTACGGTGTTGATATCGAATGAGGTTCATTTTCCATGTTTACCAATGTTGTTATTATGTCTGAATGATTAGTTAGTCAACATACTGCTTCTCTTGAGCATTCTGCATGTTTGAGGTTCCCATCGTATGCTTCCATTGATGACTGCCACCATGTTTGTGATGTGTGGTTCTCTGTTCCAGGTGGTGAAGTGAAGGCACTGTTGCTGTGTAGTAAGATATTCACCAACACCTCCATGCAGGTATGTCATTGTCAAGGCTGACGAATGTCACTGATTGGACATTAATATTGGTACCTTGAATATTTATTGATTGTTTTTTACCTCTCTGCCAGGTATTTCTATTACTGAATCTAAACATGCTGACCCTCTGTGCCCAGGGCCTCGTTCCTCAAAGCGATCATAAACCTAAGACGATCGTAACTCCCATATTTTAAGATAGACTTATGACAGTCATAGCACTACGATTGACTTGTGGAATGGTGCCCTGAGCTCCCTTCATTGGCTGAAAGTCAGCCCTATCAATTATAGTTGTTTATTACCAAAGAAGTTTATGCTTCAAGAAGCTCTGGTGTCGCGGAATGAAAAAATGTGATTGAAAGATACTTGCCCCCAGAATGTTTGACAACTGTATTTATGTTGGATGTAATCACAACATATAAAGTATGAAATACACAATGCCATTTTAGAAAGTGGTCAGAAACTAAGAAAGTGTAATCCCAAATATGACATATGTAACATATAAAGTAGTAAACACATTATGGACAGGAGACAAGTCCCAAATAATTTTGCTTTTTTGATGACAGGAAACAGCTATTTTCAAAATGTTGTTATTTCAATTCGATCTGTCAATTGTTCTCACTTATTTAAATTTTTTGAGGAAGATGAAGATATGCATGTGACAATTCAGTGCATCCGTATATACCAAACCTGTTGTGATAGCTTTTCATATCCTGGTACACTGGTAAAACTGTGCATCTCTAGTCAGCAATACACACAATGTTTCACTTGATGCACTTGACCCTGACAGGTAGAACATCTGAGAAAAGTAGAAATTTTCGACGAGCAAGGTTTTGTTACTACACGTCATTGCAGCATTAAAAATACTGTGACATGTCTAATTCAATGACAAAGCTTTTGTTTTTGTTGATAACCCAATCATCAGTATCAAGAGCTTTGTTAGATCAAGTTCATGCTACCCATTGTCAAATGCAGCCCCTGCCCAGACAGCAGACGTGGAATGATCCTGGTATCAGGACATAAGATGTTGAAAGGTAGAAGTTATTGTGGTGGATTGTGACTGTACCCCCTCCTCTCCTCTGGACCCTATCCCTTCCACTGTACCCCCTCCTCTCCTCTGGACCTCAGTGATGAGTGAAGAGACCCCGCAGTGTTCGGTAATATGTATAGGTCTCCCACGGAAGTTCATAGCTGTGCTGTCTGCACAACTGTTTCCCTGAATTTGAATAAAGCATTATTTCTATTTCACAGACATGATAAGACATAATACATCAAGTATACTTTTCAAAATGCCTAGTGGTTACGACATATAGACATCCTCATAACATGCTTAAGATGACATTGTGTTATTTTGTTGAAATCATAAGATTTTTGTGTTTTTCTTTATTTGCTCTTCAGCAGTTATGCAGAAAATATGTGGATATCAGTGATGATAAGCCTGCTGTTATTTAAACCAGTTATAGTACTGATGTGATCTCTACTCCTGTAAGATCTACTCACAACAGACTCAGTGCTGGGGTTGGTTTAGACTACGACACCCTTGACAGCTGTGATTGTGAGTGAGTGAGTATGGTTTTGTGACGCTTTTAGCAATATTTCAGCAATATCATGGCGGGGGACACCAGAAATGAGCTTCACACATTGTACCCATGTGGGGAATCGAACCCGGGTCTTCGGTGTAAAAAGCCAACACTTTAACCACTAGGCTACCTCACAGTCCCTGCAACGATTGTTAGGTATTTGTCTTCACTGACATTTTAACCCGAATCTATATATACAGATGTGTAAGTGTACCACAGATATTTTACAATATTTTAATATTTTAAATATTACAACCAGTAATACTATATTGTAAGATCCCTCGAGATTCCCCAGTCGATCCATCTGGAAGTGTTGCCAGCAGTCTGTAATAATAATAATAATGCCCAGTCCACACTAGACCTGTTCTGTTTTTGTTACATTTTCATGGTTATGCTCTCTCAGATTCTCTTGCCTAAAATATGAATGATCTCACAGAACAACCATGTAGCGTGAAGTTGGGACTATGTGAAGGCAGCATTAATATTTTCTCTGTGGGTCTTAAAAGGGTTAGCGAGACGTGGTCAGATATACAGATTAGAGGTCAGTGCAGCTGATTCAGTTTTCAGAAGACCCAAGTTTTGTGTTGAACCATACACCATGAGTGACCCAAAACACTTAGAAACTACGTTGGAGTCAACTTGTGGCAACCAGGAAGTAAAAGTGGGCACATTACAATAGTGGTGAATGTGTGATCCGATACAGTTGGTACAGATTTAACAATGCCTGTTTCAAACAATGAGCAGCGGATGGTGTCTGTTATATAATAATATATTCCTCAACCAATCACCAATTTTACAACATTAAGCAGAGCTTCAGATAACGTTTTGGGTCATTGAGTTATGTACTCACTTGTGTTCATCTCAGTTGGGTATCCTAATTTTCCGTTGAGTAACCAAATAAATTGAACTCACTTCACTCAATCTTAATTGGGTATTTTGTCATTTTTCATTAATTGTAAAAATATAATAAAGTATAAATGTTAGTGTATATTATTTATATTTGATCTGTAATATGAGAAACGATAAGAAAGACTGCAAGTTGCCAAGTTTATGTCCTGAAATAGAACCTCAGTATATCTTCCTTTATTTTGTCTATCCACCGGTACGCAAGCTAAGATACGACATTATTGTGTGTATGCATGTAAGATCACATTTTTGAGTGTTTACAAAAATTCAAGCTTACTTGTATGCAATAGACTTAGTAGGAATTGAGTTTTCACATAAATATTTGCGTAATTTACGCAGATAAGCAGCCTATCTGTACATCTGATTAAGTATCACAAAGAAGAGATTGAAAACACGACCTTATTTATCAAGACAGGGACTTTACATACATGTCCATTGTAGACAGGTGGCTTCATGCAAAGTTTTACAGGGATTTAAATATCTCTGCTTAGAAAACTGACTCTGCTTGGATGCAAAGGAAGAATATTTTAGAAGTTTTAATTAAAGACAATGCATGTAATATTTAATGATATATACGGACGATACTGCACATAAAACCTGTGTCCTGATGGCTAGTTATAACACACATCGGTACTGTATGAACATTGCAGTATATTGAAATACTATACAGCGATATGTAGCACAGTGTCACGACACTGGAGAAGTAGAGTTTAATAACAAACATGTACTCCAAAACATGGGACAATATCTACTGTCACTGCCTCAATATTGGTCAGCAGAGGCAAGAAACACAGCACTATCACATGTTTTTGTCTCCAAAGTTGTTTTTTATGTTCTGAAAAATAATATAAAGAATATTGAACAAAATATTTAAAATTATTGAACAAAATATTTAAAATGTTTAAAACCCTCATGTTGATGTAATAATATCAGTAATTGTAGACACTTACGCATTGACATTTTAATCAAATGAAATAAAGTTGTGTCACATCTATTTGGACAGGGCTGTCCTTGAGTTTGCTGATTAATTGTAGGGATGAGTGTCACCAAGGTTAGGTACCACGCATCCTCTGGCCATGACATTCCGAAATTAATCCTGACAGTGGGTGTGAAATGTCATCTGTTTCAGGGAATGGACTGCAGCTAGTGGTGTCAGTGTCACGTGGACAGCCAGAGGTAGCAGTATTTGACCACGGTGTTCAGGTTTGTTCCCAGGGCTAATGGTTTAACCCCCATGCACATTGACACTGGAAGTAGTGCACTGCCTCAACTTTCATCAAAGTAAAATATAATATTTGTGAAAGATTATTTCCATCTCTTTTCTTCTTATATAAACATGATAAAAATCCATGATGTAATTATTGAAATGAAATTTTAAATAAATATCATGATATGGAAAGCTGATAACAGGTTTGTGATTCTGTTAATGTTGTGTTGATATTGTGATGCTGAAAGTAGTTTGCATGCAGATGTTCCATATTGTAACCGTGGTAATCGTATGCACTAGGAATTTCACTGAGAAGTCTGCAATGACTGGCGTATAGGGATGTGTTGAGGAAGTCAGTACTGTCATGGTTGGTGGGATCCTGCATCTTTCATATGGTTCTTGTAGTATTATTCCTGGCAGTGGTTTTCCAAGAATTCTAACAAAACCGTCTACTAGGGCAGTTTGAATAATTTCTTATCCTAGAAATGTTTACCAATTAGACTGATTAAGTTAGAACAAGGAATCAATTCCATCCATTTTTGTTTATGAGGCCTTATTATTTTTTTCTGACAAATCCACCCTTGAATAAGAAAAAAAGTTGAAATTAACTTTTGGAGGGCTGACAGTTTTACAATTAATTGAAATGAGAAATAACCTATGATTTTATCACTGATGTTCAAAACACACATATGAAAGTCTTTATTCTGACAATAACCTGTGTATTATCTTTTGATTACATTTTGCCATCAATCTTCAATGTTGGTGTTGAAACTCTATTTACATGAAAGTTTAAAATGAAAACAATTTCAACCATCTCCACCAAATTTTAGGCCCATCATTTTGTAAACAAAGTTATAAAATATAAAAGGCCAAATGTTTAGAGGAAAAACAAATGCCCTTTTACACAACAATGGATTCTTTCTGAGATGGGTAAAATGGAAACCAAAGACAAATTTGAGCCATTTGACTGAACTTCAAACAGGAATTAAGCCAGTTTTGACAAATTGAGTTTGGATATATTTCTTGGAATATCACATGCCCTGTGAGAGTTTTCATTCCCATGTTCTTCTTTCCTTGTATTATTGGTTTGGGCTCCCTTGGAATTTATTTAATGTTTAATGGTTTGGTTTTATTTTCCATATCCCAATTCCATTTTGTTTGAGAACTAACACACTGAAAGTTGAACAAAGAAATACAGATCCATCACTACTATTGTGACAGAGTGATATATCAAAATAATTGCAGACCACTTCAATAAAGTTTTTGTAATCTTCCAAATCTTTCTGCTATTATTAAGATATACTTGATTAAAGAAGGTTTGAAATGTTATAATTACCTTGGAATTGTTGAGGAAAGGAGTCAGATATAAATGGTTGAGGGTGGAAGGAAGGGAAAAATAGGAGCTAGTGTATAAATTACTATACTCATGAGCAAAACATTTTGATTCTGGTAGAGTTATCTCCCTTGGACCATTTCCTCAGCTTTACTCTTTTTGAGAGAGGTTGGGAAGGGAATTTTTGCCATCAGTACCACCAGTGAAAAATGATGATGAAGAAAGGTTTACTTTTGGGAAAATTGTGTTAGTAAATTATCATTAAATGAAAACAACCAACAAAGTTGATTAAATAAGATGTTGATTGAGTGTTACGATTGTTTTGGAGCATCAAGTTATTGATGAAATGTAATATGTAATAAGGTTTGGCTTTTCCCCAGCAGAGTGTGGCAGTAAAACTAGTTGCCATGACGACGCTTGTACCTGTACAAGGCGTTACATCACTACAGCCCGGAAGAACATAATCATGACAGTAGTTGTTACATCCAGATAGATCCTGGCGATAATCTAGAATTAACTTCAGCCGATTTGGATCAAGTACGGGGACTTGCATGTTTTTACCTTATTGTTTGTTTGGTTGTGTTGTTTTGGTATGGATTCTGGAGACAAACAACTTACTGGAAAAAGGATAAAAACTGATCACAGTAACATTGCTTCATTGATTAATGTAACGTTCAAAATAAGTTTTAAAAATCTTATACCCATGATTGGAACATCTGTTTAATGACTTTACCCATGAATATTCAAATCAGGCAAGGGTGACAAGTACTAGTGCCCTCAAGTTAAATTATTGCACAAGTTCTAAGCTTTCCTGCTGTAACAGACGGACATTTCAGGTTTGGATAGAAGAAAATCAAGCATTGACACCCTGAACGAGGAATGTTAAAATATGAACAGAATATTAATGTCAGTAATATGTATAATGCAATCGGCAATTTTGATGAATTTTATGATTCAAGTAGACAAACTCTTTTTGGTCATTTAACAGAACATGTATAGTACATCTTTGTCATCGATTCCCAGTTTCTATCACTCTGTTGTGTCTGTTAGACACTATAACATGAGACAGCATTCATGAGAATTACATTCAATAGTAATCTTTTGATTTGAAATTTGGGTCCAAAGTCTGTATCATGGTTCATTTAAATATAACAGTGTCACACAGTGTGTTTGACTCCAGAGTCCAGACTCCAGTGCTTTTTGTTGGTTATACGTTATTATTTCTAAAGTTTTTACATTTCTAAATGACAACATCAAATATATCCAATCTTTTTGAGTTTCTAGATGTTTGTAAAATTGTGTCTGAGTAATCTTAGTAAAAAAGAACATGTTAATCATATACGTATTTACAATGTAATCATCCAAATGTCCTGCAAGATTCTGTTGTACAGTGTTGCTGCTGTATGTATTAGGTCTCAGCATTGTTTAGGTACTGAAGTATATATATATATTCAAACAGTAATTCTGCCTCATTGAAAGAAAGGAATATCCCTAGTAAAAGTTGAGTGGTACATATCATGTAATTTCGTGAACAAAATGTACAGTCTGAATTCTGTGTTTGTGTGAGTGAACTGTAAGCTGATGTTACAAGCCACAATACATTGATGGTGTGCCCTGCGGAATACCCTCTAGTTGTCACCAGTTTAATGATTTAAACATGTAAATCTCTAAGTAATGTAAGACTTCTATGTATTCCTATCATACATGATAAAAGTTTTGATGATAAAAGACATGAAAACTGATTGATCTGCAAAATGTTTGTGTTCAGAAGTACTGATTGTTAATAATTGTTCTTAGATTGGTCGGGTAGCTAGTTCAGTGGTGAAGGTGACTGCTCATCAGACTGAAGACAATGTGCAGTCATATAGTTTCAATATTGCTGAAACCAACACCAAACCATTCTCTGAGTCTAAGACTGAAGAGTTGACACAAATACCCATACATCATCATTTGTTGTGGCTTTGTAAAATTGAAGATTAGAAACCTATGTCTAATAACTGTAAATCAGTGTTGTAATTGTATACATGTATTTGTCTGATGATATGATATGGATTGTGCCCATGTTACAATTACTTGTGTTATGTTCCTGTTGTGACAGCTAGCTGTTTTACATCTGCAGACGGATGACATCGAGGAGCCAGTAGGTTGGTTTCATGGTCGCAACTTGACCAAAGGGACATTGGGGCAGTTCCCAGGTCACCCGTACATTGAGTTCATTCGCAAGATGCCGATTCCGGCCAGGCGGCCATCTTTGACCAATGGGCTGGACAACACCTGTGATGACAGCGGCTATGGAGGCACCCCTAGACGTAAGTTGAGAATTTTTCCTTTATACAGACCCTGGACCACAAAGATGTTGGTGACAGAACATCAGTATGTGATGACGACAACCAATGTCAGTGACACAGTATAAGTTGTATGCTTCTCTCGGGGGTACCCGAGCCGGTAGGCGAGGGATGACACTGCTACAAAGAGGCGTACATCAGACCGTATTACCCGAGGGAGAAGCATACAACGTATTTATCTTACCGCCATGTTAAATGTACAAAATATCATTTTATTTTATGTTAAAGATCGCTACCAACTATATGACATGCAAACAAAATGGCGTCTGCCTCTCGACTGCATTTTTAACATCAGTGAAACATATTCTGACAAGCATAAAACTGCTATAAAAAATGTCAATTATGTTTAAGCTGAGTATGCAAACCACTCAATGAATAAAATAGCTTAATAAAGCAGTGAAAGTCGGTAAAATATATCTGTACAAAGTGAACACAAAAACAGCTGATCGAACGGGTATTTCAACTCCGGGCACGGCATGCGTCATATTATGACGTTATAGGATTGTTAGCGCTTCAGCTTCTCGGCGGAGAGCTTGGCGGTTGCCGTGGCAGCGGGTAATATTTTTTCCAGTTGTCACCCTCCTGGGAGCGTGACACGGAATATTGTTAAACCATCGTTGACCAATGAAATTAAAGTATTTTACATGAAGGTAAGATAATGTTGTTTGTCATCTAGCATGTAGTATAACTGTTGTGGTTTATGGAGATATCATGTGGCAAGACTTCCAGTAGTGTGAAACAGCTATACATTTTCTCCAATGAAAATCATTGAAGATGTTACAGTCTTTTATATATTTTTTTACAGCATATTTTTGAACCTACATGAAAATTTAGCTGACAATAAGTTGTTCTTTGGGGTTAGAGTTCCAGGTGACAAGCACGTGCTTGTGTTCTTGGTGTGAATTGTTATTACTATTGTTTGGGACAAGCACCTGCAGGTATTCTTGGTATGAATGCATGTTAGAATCATTGGTGTCAAGCACCTGGTGTCAAGTGTCCATGGTGAGAATGCCATTTTAACAGATTCTATCTCTGAAGAATGTCTGCCTTCAACTGGTTTGCTAAATTGAAGATTGGGAGAGTTACTTCCCCTGCACCACATAACAAACCCACCTCACCCATCATCCATGACTGTTTCTGTGTTTTTGGACATGGATGATGGAAAGACCTCGGCCACAATAAATGTTTATATACAACCATTTATAATTATTTTTTCTAAGTGAAACATTGTACGGTTCAATTGTGACACAATGTTTAAGCTGGCTTACACAAATGTGTTGGTTCCCATGGTCGACATCAGGCTGACAGATTGGATGTGTTGTCATTTTGACAAGGTATATCAATCCTCAAATATACATTCCAATTAAAAATGATGTCAATGTTTACAAGTAAGTATAACTGAAGTCACTCACTCACTGTGAGAATGCTGTGCAGGTTAACTGTCTGAGTTGAAACATAACAGCCAACACTGAATTTTTGTGGGTATTTTTTGTCATGTCATTCAACAACTAGCATGATCATCGCTTCACGTTTTCGAATTTTGATAAATAATACTTGTGGAGATAATTTTTGGTGCAAACAGAAATCTGATCACATGGAAAACATGTGACCCACCTCTCAGATAGTAACTTGGGGATGTAATGGGGAACCTTTCTAATGTACACTTTACAAAATACTTTTGTACAAAGTAGATAATGAACTCTCTATATAAACTGTCATGTGTAACCCAGGCTGAAAACCATAACTGTGATGCTCGTATCAAATACATCACTAGTGAATAACAATTGGACAGGGGTGTAAACTATCTTTTGCTCATCAGTATATTCGTCTGATTTGTGACTTATATGTTCCAAGAACGAATACATTATTAGTGATGAATATACCTCATGTATTTTATTGGTTAGCTCAATCAACAATACTGTGGCTATTCAGTGGTAGAGTGAAGGTTGGGCCAAGAGTTTCAAACTACCATATTTCATTGTCTCTTTAGGTATGTACTACATTTGAAACTCTGTATGTTTTTGAAAGTATATCTCTCTGAGTGTGCTGTTTCCACACAACTCTTCATGTCACCTCTATATAGTCTACACTCTACGCAAGGCTCACAAGAATGTTAAAGAATGTGCTGACTTTTCAATGGGGGAACACTCAGGAAGAAAACCCACCTGCAATCAACGTTTACACATCACAACTTTTACCTATATAATCACCATTGTTTATTTGGGTGTTTACCACTTACCTGTGTAATCATCATTCACTTGTGTTATCATCATTTACCTACGTAGTCATCATATACTTCAATACTTGTGAAATGACTTTTTGTATGTGTAATGGCTTTTCATTGTGGTATCATTTTACCTGTGCTAGTGGCCACGTAGGTGAAGTAAACGATCATACACTGATGGTGTGTGTGTCTCCACCAGCTTATCTTGCCGGTAGTGACTTATCACTGGTATATTTATATAAAACTGCAAGATTACATATCGTCTGAAGGTGAAATGTCAAGAGATACTTAAAGATAAGAAAGTCTGCAGTGTGAGACAGTCTTCTGCCTTATGGTGGTCACCACCATTATCATCATCATCACCATCATCATCATCATCTTCATCATCAGTGGGCGGTGGGGTAGCCTAGTGGTTAAGACGTTCGCTCGTCACGCCGAAAACCCGGGTTCGAATCCCCACATGTGAAGCCCATTTCTGGTTTCCCCCACCGTGGTATTGCAGGAATATTGCTAAAGCGGCATAAAACCATACTCACTCACTCACTCACTTCATCATCAGTGGGGGATGTGGGGTAGCATAGTGGTTAAAGCGTTCAGTCGTTAGGCTGAAGACCTGGGTTTCAATTTCCCCACATGGGTAAATTGTGTGAGGCCCATTTCTGGTGTCCCCAGCCGTGATATTGCTGGAATATTGCTAAAAACGGCATAAAACTCACTCACTCACTCATCTGCAGTGAGCAGGGAACACATGATTCATTCTACAGTAAGTCTTGTGTGAGGCATGACTGCTCTCATCTCTATGAAAACACACAAAGTCTCAACCCACTCCTGAATAATATGGCCAGATACACATTATGCTTACTTTATCCCAGTAAATTACATTAGCCATGTATCAGTGTTTGTGTCTCTCTGCTCACAGGTTTGTTTCTATACACAGGACCCTCTGTATATGTATTGTCAAAACATGACAGTCACATGACTTACTTTCAAAGAAAAGTTATTGCTTTGCAGCTGTGATTATTCAAGCGGATATTATGGGTCTAGACCAAAGATTATGTTTTGTGTTCTTTTCAATTTGATTCTTCAAAATTTTTTTTGGTGATCATACAATGTTTCTTTAGATGTGGAAAATGATAGATTAGGGATATATTTAATATTAACCTTTATGATGGGATTTTTATCGTTCCTCCCTGTACACTGTATGATCAATCAGAGCATGTCTTATAGAGGGAGGAATACCCATTGTGCCGTTGTGTACCGGAACAAATTACTTGGTGTCTGTTTCACATGGGAAGACAAGTGTATGTGAGACATGTTTCACAAAAGAAGGCACTGTAGCTTACCTGCACAGAAATTGCAGTGCATGATACAATATTGTTAAGTTTGGATAATTCAGCATCGCTGTTATGTAACATTCTGAAGCTTGCTAAAAGTGGATGTTGTGGACATTTATGTAGAAGATATCAGCAGTCAAGCTAACAAACCTGCCCTGATGTTAGCATTGGTAGGTGAAGAAACAGGAAATCCTAAATCCATTTGAAAAGTGCTGCCATTTTTCCCATTTGGGTTGTTATGTGTTATTCAATATGCAGAAGAGACTATTGTCGGACAACACATGGTGCAAATTTTGCAACTGTTGTAAAAAATGTCACTTGTGTGAAAAGTTCTATATTGGCATATCTATGATTTCTATTATCATACAATAGTCAAAGTGAGCTGCGGTGCCTCAAGAATTATTTTAAGTCTGATGTTAGCGTGATAAATTTGGTGGAAGTGGCTTTCATCTGGTATCTAATCTTGATGCACCATTGAAAATATTCAGGCTTCAGATACTGAAATATTTCAGAATTTTCTCACACTCATCTCAGGTCTTTTGACCTTAATTCTAAATTTACCAAATTCCAGACAACTTTCCCATCCAAGGTTAGTTCCCCTGAGTGTAATGCCATGCCGTCTGAGACAGGTGTACATGCCATTATTGCTAGACACTATCATGCTGATAACGCCCTGATGTGCTGCTCACGTGGTGAATGTTATCGGGATATGCCAATAGGAACTGATATACAAGGTGATATTGCTTTATATCTTTATCCCAGAACTGATGTGGATTATAATATAGCCATGTAATAAATGCTGCAGGTACCTGGTTGACAGTGGCTCTTTGTTAGCGTGGTTTACATTCAGATCATAATATTAGTGACAAGAACATATATTATTAGTCACAATGCAATAATAAGTTCAGTCTTTCATTTCCTTTTAAAAGCTGGATAAATATTAATTTCCTTTCACATATTTGAACACTGGATAGATGGATCTGTAATTCTGTTAAAAGTTGCATCTGGTGTTTTCGGATAAGGAGTAAATCTAGCTGACTAGGCATGTTTATATCAGATGTCAAACACAACAAGTCTGCACATTCACAGAAAGGTATACTGCCTCCATTTTCTAGTGAATAAACCTGAGTAGCAATCTCTGGTCACTTCATACCAGAAGATGTTTGTTCTCTGCCTACCTGGTGCTTGGCAACAAGGGGATAGAACTGGCCATTAGTTAGTCTGTCTACTGTGTCGGAATAGGTATCCATATTTAACATAGGCCTGGTATGTCCGTGGGTTAGCACTTTCACACTAGTCTTGACTAGTACAAGCAGGCCTGGTATGTCAGTGGGTTAGCACTTTCACACTAGTCTCGACTAGTACAAGCAGGCATGGTATGTCAGTGGGTTAGCACTGTCACACTAGTCTTGACTAGTACAAGCAGGC